TTGTTACAAAGCGCTACGTTAAAACATTATATTTATTTGTCCTACTAATGCGATTATGAGTTACTATTGTTGAAAAAAACCCTGAATCTTCGTATTAGGGAAAAATATTTCGAACAGATTTGGACAGTCTAGTTTACAGGTTTACTTAAGTCGATTGCGATTAGACGTTTGATATACAGGTTAATGTTTAAAGTATCTGTGTCTGAATTAAACAAAAAGACGTAGCAAGTTTGTTCCTTTGGAAACCTATACATTTTCCACTTGACTATAGCCTATCGATAAAGTGTTAGAGATCTAGACAATTCAATTACGAAGCGCCAGTCATCGCAATCAAGGAAAAAAGGATTTCATTTGGGCGGATATCCGGATTGCCCTTACGTCATTAATCACGGGCTACGCTTCGGAATGTTCGCTGCTACGTGTACGATCACGTACAACTATATCGTACAAATGAAGGCTTTAATACGAATCGATTCCTCTACGAACGTTATAACGACAAGAATCGTTTCGATTAACTTATAATTATTTAATTCGTTATAAAATCGTTTTAAAAAGATTAACAAAGTATAAGAAATGTGTATAGCCTACTTACTTTTTATCTTCTATTGGTCGCAGCTTGATTTTATATGTGAGCCGAAAGCCTTCCTCAATAAATGGACCTACCAGACAATTTTTCAAATCGAACTAGTAGTTTTTAAGATTAGGGTGTTCAAACAAACAAATTCTTCAGATAGATTCTTCTCCTTTAAATCTTAGTGAAGCTTAAGCTTTCACTATATTTATCTCTGTACGAGCGATACAGTTCATTTCGGATATACGTACGTTTGTCTAGATTTTGTGCGCAGTTATTTTTATAAAACAATATTTTAGACGTTACAGCCGGAGTTATACGTTTATTTTTAAAGTAAATAGAGTTCGCGATTCCAATAAATTCCGTTATCGTGATTCAATTCATTTCTCTCTATCTAAAGCACCGTAATAATTGCCACATCTATATTTGCACGTTGTTACTGTATTGATTTACTCGACATCGCCAAAATAGGCCGTCTCGTTCAGCTGCGCTATGTTATTGCTGTTTTAGTTTTTAATAGCATCGTTTATATGAAACTAACTTTAACAGCGACTTCGTCCGCGTAGAATATTCCTTTTGGGCATCAAAATTTGATTCATAATTTTCAAACAATGGTCAATAATTTTCCCCTTTGTTCCACATGTTCCGCAGTTTCTTCGTTTCTCTATAAATGATCTACAAAACAAAAATAATTTTTCAATTCAAACCAGTAGTTCCTGAGATTAGCCCGTTCAAACAAGCAAACAAACTCTTCAGCTTATATTAGTACACATATACTCTCTAAATTGCATTTCGTAGATAAGACTGTAATCATGTCCTAATTTGAATAGTGACGCACAATGCCACTGGAAGAAAAACAATTAATTTGACTCGTGAATTATGTCCTCCCTATTCTATCCTATCCATGTTCTTTTATGTTGATAACAATTTTTTCTAGCCTATTAAATAAATAACACTGTCGCTTATAACTGCTGTCCTACATCTGTCTAAACCTCACCGATAGACATTTGAAATATTCACAAATAACTGTATTTTGTTGCTATAGCAACAAAACTAACAATAATTGTTTTTAAAAGCAGTGCAGAAACAAGGAACGTTATGCTTTTGTCTACCTTCATAATAGTTTTACAAATCAAATTGAATTCTCCGAATCTTGTTTAAACAAATGTTTCGACTCATACACACGGTTTCATATCTGGTGACTAAATGCCGTGATTTAAATATATTTTAAAATGTTCGCTCAAATGGCGTTTTAAAAACACGATGTTCACACATACAGCTCGAACGATGCTTTCATTCAAGCTTTTACGCAGATTAAAATCCAGAAATGGTATTCTAACATTTTTATATACTTCGGTAGACCATTACTACAGAATACATTAAAAAAAGCTCTTAGTTAATAGTTCTTGTCTACACATCTACATATCTTAAGACAAACAAAACTTATGATAAAATATTTAGATTTTTTGTGAGATAAAGACAGCGATTCTAATAACATAGATAAGAACAAGGCACTTTATTTTCTATTAGTTCACAAACGTCGGGCAGAAGTTAAAAATCATTTTCAAATAAGTTTAACTAATATATCGCGTTTTAAACCGTTAAAGTGTTTTATTTAAATATGTACTACTCGCGTAAACTATAGACAGTATTTAAGGCACTGTTAGTTGCGTATTTAACATACCTAAGTTTTGATATTATAAAAATCCTTTCTGTAAGAAGGAAACTAATATTTTGCACATGCACGGCATTAAATAAATTAATCATAAATTTATTTGAGCAGCAGGACGTAAACGATTCAAGTCCCGCCCGCATCGTTATTTTTCGATCTAAATAGATTTATTTATTATACAACAATTAAAACGGTAATAGGCAGTTAGATTAATTGTATCTATAATGTATAATAAAAAGTATTTATCAATTTTTAAACGATAAAATTCAAAAATATAATACAACTGTACTCTTAATTAAAATTAATATTTTGTCAGTATTATTCGATACTTCGAAAATTCTTTGTTCAAGGCATATAAAATTCACTGTATTTTTTACACTAAGTAAGAGTGATTCAACACCACTTCGCTTGTTTTGGCTTACTATAACAAAAACATTACCGACCCTCATAAAGGTCCCTCGTTGTAGAAGCTTACATTTATAGCCACTATGTAAGTGCTTTTATTTTAAAATTACACTTGTTATCTTAATATGAAAATATAATTTTAATTGTGTTTTGAGAAAAGGGAAAATATGTTAAATTGTAAATCTCTTAAATGGAAAGTGTTACACCGAAAAACGATGACAAAAGCGGGACTCGAAACCACGACTAGTAGGGTACCATGCTGTTGCTCAAACAATTAAAATATAACTCTGGAACGCTACAAAGGGATCATAATATAACCCGGTTTTTAAGCCTCATAAGAAATACTACATAATACATACAATAATTTTTTCTTCAAACGTTTTTAAAAATAAATTAAAACAATTTTTACATTCTTGATAAGTATATTTCTACTGACCTTTAATAGTCAACTTTACCTCCCCTCGTTCGAAAAGAAACTTAAATTTTAAGATTCAATGACCGAAGTGCTTATAAATTCAGTTGTAAATTTCAAATATTTTGACGTACGTGTTCGAGCTTTGTTTATTACTGCAAAGTATACAAAAGTAACATTGCCGGAGCGTAGCGTGTGTCATGATGTATTTTCTTTGAACTTTGCTCAACACGACTTTCTTTTGTTTTTCTCTGTCTTCCTACTTATATACTTCGAATATTTCGAAACATAATAATATTGTCTTATATTAAATTGAACTAAGTAATTTTTGACCAATGTGACGTTATTGAGTGTACCTACGATAGCTTTTGACTGTTTGAAGATGTTACACCACGGGTGTTTAAAAACCCTGGCATTTTTTTTTTTCCCCCCCCCCCCCCTTTTTTTGGGGGAAATTCCCCCGGCCTTTTTTCCCCAAAAATTTAAATTTTTTTCCTTTTTTTTTTTTTTTTAAAAAAAACAAATTTTCCCTAAAACTTTGGGTGCGATACATAAAATGTAGTATTTTTATCAGTTCTTATTAATTATTATGATGTGACCAGATCGTCTTAATACTCTTGGGGCGTCAATTTTATTATCATAATCAGCTAATACCCTGTTCTTAAGGACGGTTAACTTTGTCATTATTTTCACGACGACCTTCATAAAACGAAAATTACCGTCATGTCTTATGACATAGATGTATTTATCAGAGTGCTTAAGTGGATTCTGTGTCCATATTTTGTATGAAAGAGAAGGACAGACATGAGGTTCCCTTGGTGGTGAAATATCCTAGCCATATAACATCGAAACCAGATGCGCTGTCGACTTTTTGGCTTTGGATATTCGGAAATCCACAGGCTAAAACCAAAACGCGATTAAACTTAACGGCTTTTTCATCGGTGGACGGTGGTTCGTGACCCGGACGGAATTTCGATATTCCTTACCAGCCATTTAATATCCAGATTTCCAGACGAAGTCCAAAATGTTGGACTCGATGGTGATCGAACCCACGACGTTGATTATTAGCGTTACACTGCTACCATTACACGAACGAGCCCGCAAACCCGTTATTTTAAGATTTGTGACAAGCGCTTGACACAGGCACTAGGGTGATGGCATTTCCTACTAATATATTATATCGAAGTAACCTTTCGACTCAGGAGTCGAACTTAAAACTTCCTAATCTTCAGACGAGAGTACTACTGTGTAGCGACTTAGACCAGCAAGGCAGTTACAACGTAAATAAGCTACGTCAAATTCAAAGCTACTTATTAAAGAGGCTTTTAAATATACTATAAATATCTTTTGTCGTAAGTAAATTGGACAAAAATGTTTTCGATACGACGTTTGCTTCATCAAGTGTCGCAAATAAGTTTTTGTTGTTGTTCTTTTACTAATAGTGGCTGCAAACAGTATATAAATGATATTGTTAGGCAAATAAAAATATGTATACAATATACCTTTAGTAAAACTAAATACATTTTGTGAGAATATCCATAGTCCGTGTCTCCTCGTTGTCTCCCCGTGACCACGGCTGCTGCAAAGCATCCGAAACGTCGGGCCGAAGTTAAAAATCATTTTCAAATAAGTTTAACTAATATATCGCGTTTTTAACCGTTTAAGTGTTTTATTCAATTGGTTAGTAAAAATGTATTCAAGAAAATACTAAACATTCAATAACATTACAGAATATATATATATATATATATATATATATATTTTTTTATTTATATATATATATAACTGTAGAATTGAACATTGCGCAAGCAATTACAATAATTGGGCAGGAAAACTTAGTCGCGATAACTTGAGAAGTTTGGTGCCCGCTTTATATTGCGGCCCTGAAAGAGATTAAGCAGTTCTTCCTTGAAAATTGTTGAAAGCGGAAACTCATTAAAATGCCTTCATTACATAATAATATGGGTAATTTGTATAATCTGTTTTCAAAACTCTTAAATTACCACACAAAATTTAAATAGAACACTGTTTAAAACGCGAAATATATTAGTTATACACAGTTATTTTTAAATTTGTTTAACTACGACACTTTTGTTTGGTCTCCCTCGGACTACGGCTGCTGCAAAGCATCTGAAACGTAGTGCCGTAGTTGAATTAGTTTAACTAATAAATTTCGCGTTTTAAACCGTTGACCGTGTTTTATTAAATGTGTACTACTCCTGAAAAGTTAATTATTGTTGCATTGTTGTAAGTGCGGGTTTTAGTACAATGTTTCACTTTCAGGGAATCCAAGAAACAAATGCGCTCTACAGCCTGGCCACAGCCTTATGGACTGGATCCGCTTGGGGAATTCAGGGAAAGATCTCACGGGTGTCGGTGGTCGGATAAAACCAGTATCGCCTTCAGAACTCGCTTTACATAATTCAATAAGTACGACTTTGTTGAACAATGTGCTTTTGAAGTAGCTCATAAAAAGGATATAATTATCTAATTGTACATTGATTTTAGCAGTGCTAAAACACCATACATTTGTCAAAGTAGTAACTAATATAAAAAATAGACTGTCATACTACGTACTGACTTGATTTTATTTTAATGAATAATTGTATTTTTCTTATTAAAAAAAGAAAATGTTTAAATCGTAATTCCATTTGCAAACCTATTTCAAACAACTATACCATACAATACTTTCAATCAAAAGATGTTTTAAAAGGTTTATAATTTTTTTTTAGCACATTTTTTCTCTTTCAGATGACGCGTGGCTAGCAATTAGAGGGCGTGTCTATAACATAACTCACTACTTACCGTATCATCCAGGAGGTTCGTACCACCAGTGAAGTAGACTTTCTGAGAATATACCATGCCTGATTAGCGTTTCTTTTAAGGTCCCGAAGAATTGATGCGTGGGGCCGGAATGGACGCCACGGAACTCTTCGACAAAGTCCATCCTTGGGTCAACTACGATTCTTTACTGGCCAAATGCTTGGTGGGACCGCTCTCGTTCGATAGGCCAGACGGTGACGAACTATTCAACGCGCCATCGAGACCCGATCGACTACGAGAGCCGTCGAAGGCCCAGGAACTAGTTAGAAAATCTATGGAGAATCTAGCGAACTGTATAACACCGGTTAGAAAAAAGATTACGGCGAAGAGTGAAGAGAATGTCAAAGGAAGTCCCCCGAGTAAAATAATGCAGAGCTTAATACAGTCGAGTGACTTACCGGTATCGATTAGCCGAAGAGCAGCGTCGAGTCCATCCAAGACGACAGATAGATCTAAGGGTCCGCCTCCATTACGTTTCGACTGGATTCAAACTTCGACGAAAATCGTCGTCTCGATATACACTGGATATTTGGCGAACCCCGGGGGATGTGCGAAGTTATTAGACGGGTCTTTGTCCGTGGAAATTGCCACTAATGGATGGTTGAGAATATTTAGACTAGCCCCCGAAGGAAATCTAAGGGATCCTTTGCAATTAAAAATATACTCTGAGAGCGGGAAAATTGAGGTACGTATTATGATTATTTTAATAAGTAGACACGCGTGGTGGAATATGGCATACAAGCTCAGCTATTCAATCCACTAACTGAAGTCGTAAAGTCTAATCAAATAATCCTATCTTGGCTTCAAGATGTCCATGAGTAGTGTAAAAACTTTTGACTTTTATTAAATCACTTTTACCTACAGTCAACAATAACTACAAACAATTGATATAGTCTATTATTACATGCGTAGTACACATAAGAGTACAACGCACTGTTTGATAATTTAAAGTCAGATATTACAATAATGTAACATCGGTAGATATTAAAGCACATATTTATCACTATGTATTATCAAAAATAAATACTTTTTTAGGTAGTAGCGTTTAAATCCGAATGCAAATTATGGAAGGGGTGCGGTGAAACCTCTTTCAGTGAAGCGATACCAATCACCACACCGATGAGGGTACAATGTCGTGTGATGGAGGTTGGGACAATTTCCCACGACACAAGCCTCTTAACTCTGGCTCCCATAATTGGACCTGTCTTAGTACCTTTGGGACATCACGTGAGAGTACATTATAAGGAATCAGGTATAAAAACTAGAAATATAAACAAAGAAATCTCTAGACAAATTCCATAGCTCTTTTAGTAGCCCGCTGTCTACAGCCTTTAACATGACGTTTGTTATTGGCTTAAAAGTAATTCATCCTTCACTTTATAATCTAACCATGCTTATTTTTTTATTATTATTGAGATTTTTCTTGTCAGTTTATGTGCACTAATTTAGCCACTTAAACATAACAAACAGGAAAATTTTTACTACTTAATATAATAAATTTCATGATAACATATTATAAATTATATTTATTATTTGTGATTGAAATCTTTGCCTACCTTTGCTTTATAATATGATACTAGCCCTGTCAGCGAATCAAAAATTGTTTTTGAAAATCTTCACTAATTTAAGCTGGTACCCACGACGTCAGTCGCGTGCCGTCGTTCTTACAAGTTAATAATTCTTTCATACATATTTTTTGGGTATCTTAAAAAGGTTTTTGCAGCATACGCAACGGAGACACACGACAAACTATTCAGCTTCGGCTAGAAATCTGTCATCGCACCTTACGATTCTGTGTAAATTTCTAGATTCGGAATGTATCCGTTCCTACACCCCGATCGGCGAAGGCTGGGACAGATCACCTAATGATTATAGTGCCCTTAAATTAGCTGTGAAACGATACGAAACAGGAACTCTATCTCCCTATCTGACGTCTTTGAACCTGGGCGATGTGATTACGCTGTCAGGATCCTACGGGAACTTCCAATTACAACAGGTAAATATAAAGAAACCTTGCCCAAAAATATTTCATCTAGCTATAAATGCAATAGTATTTAATTTATCAGTTTTCTTTATAATTTAAAAATCGAAAATAAATTGAGACTCGGGCAGAACTTGAACCGCTCGAGCTCTTTTCTTTAGTTAGACCGGACCTAACACTAAAAGAGATATTAATACGCAAATGCTTAAAATTACATTGCGCGAGAGGTGTATATATAGGTTGAAAAAAATCCACGATGACGGTAGCTCAATTGTTTAGAGCAACAGCACGGAACGTTGTCCCACCCGTCTAGTAAATATATTTTTCAATCTAAAATCGATTTTAATTTATAAAATGCCATCATGTGCAATGTGGAAAATATAAAATGTTTAAAACAGATGATTTTAAACTTTAAGAGCTAGGGTATATAAAATTAATAGTAGCTGATAGTCTGATTATAAACATTAAAATTTATCAGATATGAAATTTCATTAGAATCGATCAAGTCGTTTGGAGAAGTGTGACTCGAAACTTGAGAAATAAATTAAAATGAGTATTATGACAAGAAATAGCATATACAAGCTGTGTCAGCGACTTTGTTCGCGAAGAATAGTTATTTTAGGCATCTAAATTAGTATCTTCAACCGGCCGTCTGAGATTAGCCCGTTCAATCAATTTAAATCAGTATAAATTGGAAGTTAAATCATAACGATAAAACGACAGCTCACGCCGTTAGTCACAATATGCTTCAAGATAAAAATAGAAATACGATTAGGCATTTGCGAAATAATTAAGAATTGACGCGCTCTGAAGACTCATCGATCTCAATTTGTGAAACATCCGCCTCTCCATTCTATAAAGTAATTCGGTTTCAGTTAAAATCTGTGAAGACCATATACTTAATAGCTGCTGGTACTGGGATCACACCGATGCTGCCTTTGCTACGGTTTACGTTGTCTAGATCGAATCCTAGATGGTGAGTATTTGAACTAGTATAAAGAATAGGAAATATTTTAAGGCAGAGGAGGCAGAACAGGTTTACTTGATCGCGAATACTCCAGCAATAAGAACTCAATAAGATGCACTGTCGACCTATGTTTGCTTTGGATATTCGGAAATCTTCACAGAAGAAATTTGAAACGCATTCTTAACGGCTTTTCTTTTGTAGACGGTGGTTCGTGACCCGTACGATTTACATATTCCTTAAGCAAATATCCATCAATCGAAGTCCTGCATGTCAAAAAATTAAATATTCGAACCGTGATTATTAGCCGTTCATTAAAGAGCCATTTATTTTCACTAGCAACGAAAATAGTTGTGACATTTACATAAAATAAGCATCTCCAATGAGACTTCTGAACGCATTTAACAAAATTCAATTACAGCAAGTCTTAGAGAATGTTCTAATAGAATATTTGAATTTTATAAATACGCTCCAAGTCTCTTGTCTCCGGAGCAATTAGGTGCCTCTAATCTTTGAAGCGTTAAATTAAATTTTACTAAACGTCTCTCCTTTCAGCGAACGAGTACATTTAATATTTTTCAACAAGACGGAAGAAGATATTCTATTTAGGAATGTTTTCGATGAAATAGTTCGACAAGATGAAAGGTGAACTTCGTTGACTATATTTTAAGTTATTTATTTTATTTAATATACGTTAGGGGAGAACAGATAAAAGTGGAATGTACTTGAAACCAGGCATATAACATCTAAATATTGTCTATAGTTGTTTGAAAATTATTTTTAACTACGGCCTGACGTTTCTGATGCTTTGCAGCAGTTTGCGCCGTGACCACGGACCACCAAAAGTGTTTTATTTACATATAACATCTAAATAAGCGTTGACCTTTTTTATTTTGACTTAAAGGCGAATAAACATTATAGCTCTTCAGATATTTAATTATACCTACCACCAATTATATACGTAGATTTCTAGATGAAGTCCACAAAGACCAAAGTCCAAACTTTCAGAAAAAAATATAAATCGATTAAAAACATGTTAGACCCGTTGGGGATCCAACACGTGAGCTGTTTATCGTCAGCTTTAAATTGACACCATAACACCAACGAGCCCGTTATAAATTTGTTATTAAGCTTAGTAAATAGTAAAGAAATTAAAGTTGCAGTTGAAGTTAACTTCATCATTAAGTACCCAATATTCTGTAAAGCTGTTAAACTTCTAAGCACTATGTAAAACGCTAGACGTCCTGCATTCAACGTCTGGGGAAACATGCTGCGTTTTGGACAGCGCGCAGTTTAGTTTCCTTGTCCGTGGATGTGATTGGTTAGATTAAAATAGGTCTACCCTATGAAGAGAGGAAAAATGGGATTTGACTGAAAAACAATAATTTCAGGTTAAACGTCTTAAACGTCCTGTCAAATGCAAGTGCTTCGTGGAAAGGCCTAAAAGGAAGGATTAGTATGGACATCCTAGCTTCAGTCATACCTAAAGAAGCTGCGAGTTCCCCCACGCTGTTTGCGTGTCTCTGCGGCCCAACTGAATTTACTCACACAGGAATGGATTTATTGAAGAAAATCGGCATTAAGGAGGATTTTATACACGCCTTCATCGGTTAGTGTACATAAGTGTGAAAATAATTTGTTTATTAAGTGATTTGTTATATTCTTGTTGTAAAAAATCTAATAAACAGACATTTAAGTTTTTAAAACCTAATAAGACATTAAAACACTGATAAATAAATATGGTTTCTTGCCCTTTCAGCCGTCGAATTTAAGAATGATTTCGAGAAGCTTTGTAAATGCGCGAGAGCCTTATTTCGTATTTCTTTTGCTATCAGTGTTTAAATTTCAGTTTGTTATATTAAAAAGACAATTTATCAATATAGATTTGGTAATGTAACATAACGCGTCCTAGGAGTGAGATAACACTTAAGGATAGTAGATTATTTAAATATATATTTATTTTAAATAACATAGCATTATATTATACTGTATCACAACCTCAAAAATAAACATAATCAGAATTTCCCTAGCAATCGGATAACGCAACTCTACACCTGCTTAAAAAATACCTATACGTATATCTAGAATAAGTATTGTTAGTTTCTAGAAATAGATTATTCCATCCAATTTTGTCCTACATATATTTTGCACTTCAAATACTTTATTTTACGAATTGTTGTATTATTTCATTTTTTACTACTACACGTAACAGTAGCAAGTACACTAATAGTATTATTTCAGTGTCACAAGTACAAATAAACATGGTAAGGGATTATTTATTTACAACTAGAAGTAGGAAAGTTTAAGAATTAATTTTTTGTAGATTCCCGTGCTGCTTCTGTAAAGCATGCGGCACGTCTGGTCTTTGTTATAATTCACTATGTTATATAGTTCGCGTTTCAATTGGTTTAAATTTGTATCACATCTTCAAGGTTCAAACATAACATGATAATTTTTTGTTTTACTCAGTATTATATCGGCGTTAGAATTACATATTAGAACTATTGTACATAACAAAATTAAATTGCTTTATCGCACAGTTTAGTATGAAGACTAGTCATTGTTATACTATATTTACGATAAATTGGTAATGTATTTTATTACTTTAAATCGATGTTTATTGTAAAATATTGTAAAGTGCCTACATTCCATTTAAAATTGTGTACATTGTATTTTTTGGTAAACGGTTGATTTTTGGATAAATAAAATAGATAATTTGTATAATGCTGTTTCATTCCCAAAAAAAGTAAGTATTAATACAGTAGTTTATAGATCTTTAGTTTAATTTTGCATTACTCCTTTAATGAAATAAAGCCGTCCATTGGTTAAACGCGATTAGTAAAGCTAAAACCGACCCGAGGTCCCGAGTTTGAACGAAAGGAAATATAATAATATATTTCCTAGACGAAGTTCGTATTTTAGAAGAATAATAATTTGATTACAAACACGTTGACCCGATGGGGTTCGCACACACGACCATATAAACGGACACAATTTGCATCAGACGTAAACGATATTTGGCACTAACTTGATAATATATATTCTCAAATAACAAATTTCGCTTGATTGAGATTATTTTTTTTTATATACAGTTCAATGAAAGACAGAATCAAAGGAACGGTATATTACAACAAAACCACATCATACAATAATCATTTAGAATTAAATGCTTGCAGTATGCGCCCTTCAGCACCATTGGTAAGAACTGCTACACGACAGAAAAACAGTTCAACTTCCAACGTAATAAAAGCGACTAAGATAAGACTAATTTAATAGATCACATTTGACATTTGCTTCACAGCGATGTCAATATTGTAGTATGCCTTTTTTGTCATTGTCTCAATAAATACGCATTACTATTACAATATTGTCTTAGAAGAAAAGTCTCAGATATGGTCTATCACAATGGCCTTATAAGAAAATGCACAAAAGCAGAAGTTTAAACTTAACCATACAGTACTCGGAACCGATATTTGTCCTTGTTGCTCACAAAACCTTTGGGTATTGCTATCTCGCTCGCACACTTCGTAAAGCGTTCCTGTACTAGATAGAAGACCGTTGACTGGCATAGCCTCTTTGCTTTAATAACGTATTTATTAAAAACTAAGTGGTAATTTTACTTTCGAAAACAGTAAACACTGAGAAAAAATACTGTTAAACAAAATACCTTTTACTCAATTTGGTAGTCTATTACTGAACTTTTGGATTTAGTACTGAAGCGAGGAGGATATGAACATTTTTGTTTAGTTAGATGCGAGTGACACGAACAAATAAACGATCAAACATAACTACGCTATAACTGAATAACATTTTCTAACATTTGCGGCGACAATTATTAAGTCTATATCGAACATTCTATTAAGACAATAAGCATAACCAACCCAGCAGTAACAACATAAAAATATATAACCGAACAAGACCAAATGTCAAGATACAGCTTTTAACATAAACGCGACTAAAGGAGGATAAATCTATATCATGTTTTGTCTCTGTCACGCAAGGTTAAGTGTAAGGAAAAGGGACAAAACATGGTTTAGATAAGGACCTTGCTATTGGGCGTTTATCTGTAAGGCAGTTACAATTTTTGTTTTAATTTTAATATAACAATCGAAAAAGTGCATAATAATAATATCACTTATATGCAAATTATTTTTATTATTACAGTACATACCTTGAGTGTCTGAACTCAAAATTGAATTTTAATTTTGTTTATCCTATTAATAAAGAACATATTTACAGAACCACTACACAGTTATCAATACCAAATATTGATGCTAATTATTATATATTATGTGTGTTACTGTAATTTTAACTTACATAAAATATCTTAAGTATACTCCAAACAAATGTTCCTATGTATCGTTCAATTGCCAACAGAGTATTAATAATGGAAGTTATATCAAAGCACTTTCAATTCAACTAATTCAATATTGCTGTTATCGTTATACATTGTTATAAACTTAAGATTACTTGAGTTGTACCTTTAACAAAAATATCCGTATCCCTCGTATACAAAAGTATAGCTGTCCCTTTCGGTACCATAAGCTTTCCTCAATAAGTACGTTGCTAAAAAGGGACGCATGCAAGCCTCTTTTGACTGCTGTTAACTTTGAATCCTTGTCATTATCGATTAATTGGGGGGGTTTATTTGCCCAATATGGTCCTTGTGATCATATTATGCGTTGACATCGTTAACAAAGAGGACGTCGCGGTCCTTGAGCCCGACGTCAATAAGTTTGGAGGGGCCTCGCGAGAGGACACGCTTAGGGAAATTCGTCGTGATTTCAAACTCCTCAGGCGATTGTGGGTGGCTGAACACGAAATCGTAAAGATCCTGGAAGTGAAAATATGCAAAAAAATATAAAGTACCGTAATCATAAAAAAAATTTACTTATATATATATATACGCAAAAAAGTAAAAAAGCAAGAGCAGACTAACGAGCTCTTGCTTTTTTACTTTATTATGAGCATTTTTACCGAAAATTATAAGCAGAAGCCAGTTTCATTATATTGTGTGGGAATCCTTTATGTAATGAAATGGACTACTCTAGACTTTAACCAACGATTCTTGAAGACAACAGGCACAGTAAGGTCTGCATCGTAAATTTAATTCCAATCAAGTACAGGATGTAAAATAATTTTTAACCTATATAATGATTAAGCAATTTCTTGAAGGTTATAATTTGATTAAGCAATTTTCCAATTATCGGGAAGCTAGTGGTCGGAATAAAACAAAAGGAAGATAAGAATAAAAAAGGAGGGTGCAATTATTTTTACATTATAAGAAATCTTTAACCTGGGTAGTGTGAGCAAACAGGAATCGTCTCGTTAACCTCTCGCCAGTGGGAAGTCGGATAAGTAACGCTATAGCTTCTGGTCCAGCTTTTGGTTCCTCTGGTAGCTGACTGGCCATCGTTATCCGCGCTTGCTCCAGCTTCGTAATAAACAATAAATTACAATTTATGGTGTGTTAGCGTAAGGTAACCGAGTGTTACTGACTACTTCGGTTTTCTCGACCCGCCACTGGCTACTCCACAAATACCAAAAAGTTATACATCCGGTTCCTTTATTAGTAAAATAAATATTTAAGTTTTTTTTTTTATAGGCATTAACTGTTTCCATTTCCACATCAATTTAATAATTAGAATTTAGCTGAATATATTTATTTAAGTAATTAACGTTAGTTAAATAATTGAGAGAATTTTCGAATATCCTAGACTAATTGCATCAAATAGAAAAGCGCTTTCGTGCGCGAGTGTAAATTACACACGGTTACATTGCGTTCAGTGGAATCTAAATCTAAAAATTTAAATACACTTAAATTATGTTATTACTAGTTATACGATGTTATGTGTCTGCGGATTATCATCAGTAATTAGGTGGCTATAAGGAACGAAACACGTGCCCCGCAATGAGACAAGTACTTCCGACGTTTATATAAAGCAAGTAATAAGCGTTGGTTACCTCTTGCTTATGTCGTTCTTCTTGTTGTCGGCGCTCCAAGTCCTCGTTCTCACGCTGCGCCTTTGCTGCTCTGTCAGCCGCCCGTCTTCGCTCCTTTTCCTGATCTGCAGCTAATGATTCAGCATACGCTTCATCTTGAGCGGCTCGCAAACGAGCTGTCACTTCACGCTCCACACTTGGGAAATACACTCAACATGTCAATTGTTACTAAACAATGTACTGCCAAATTTTAGCATGGTTGTTAGACTTGGGCTCGAGTTTCGCTGTTATCGGATTTTCACCATGCACAATCAAGCAATATTGTCTATATATATAGTGCCAGGTTTAAATCAACTTAAATATACAAGAGTTTGTAATAAGATGGAGTTAAAAATTGTAACTAATGTTAACAAATTTAGTCTTATATAAGCATCCATGCAACGGTAGTAACATTTAAAACCTTATTATGCATAAAATAAATGTCTTATACCAAATAAAAGGATCTTATGGATGGATTACCGGTCAGCCCTAGCAGCATTCAAGTAAGGTTCATTTTCAGCCACCACCCTCTGTAGTCTATTAATTAACTGATGAGAAGAGCAAGGGCCCTCACTCCTTGCTACAACCGTCATACGGTGATCTCTGACACACACTACACATAAAAGTGGATATCTCCGACCACCAACTGATTGGGCCACTCTCCAACCCTCAGATGTGTCTACTGAGCAACCCCAAAAGAGAGCATTGGTATTTATGTAGTTAATCACTTCAGGGTCCGAAAGAGTGGTTCTGCAATATTATTAATAATTATTCTATTGTACTTATTACGAGCATTGGTATAAAAATAAATACCTGTTAGCTGCAGTGTCTATATAAAATCTTAATACTTGTTACCTGCAGAAGTTGGCTGTCTCTGGTGCAGACTCTGAGTGCAAATAAACAACAAGGAATCTCAACTCATTCTTGGCATCATTAAGTGCCTGAGAATATGTTCCCTGGTAGAAAACTGGGTGAGAGTTATAACGGGAGGTGTAATTATGAATAAAGCCCATAACATCCCCAAGTGGATCTGTGACCACTGAAAAAAGAGTGGAACAATTTATTTTACATATGAATTTAATATGTAAAACTTAGTAATAATGCAATGATGAGTCTATGTACTTACATCTTCTATCATCATTCCTTATGAAACTTAATAATAAATTCACAACGGATGATATTGTACTATAGCACACGGAAACAACTAGATTAACTACATAACGAAACAAGCCAGTAACTCCACCAGGGCCTTCTGGAGAGTCATCTGTAAAAACTTGTTGTGCAATATGATCGTGAACCACTGGAGGTGCCCTTGCTTCTGTGGCAAATACAGATGGTCTGCCTTCTCGAATGTTAAGTTGCTCTTGAATAGCTACCTATAATGACAGTCCATTTAATAATGATGAATCATTCTAAGAGGTTCAATTTTTAAGGTTAAATAAAATGAATGTATAACTTAGACAATTGAAATAAGAGCTCGAAGAAGATAATATCGTAAATAAATACATATAAAATTTTGTGACCTCAAAACACACTAAGGATTAATAAATACAGAGTCCAAATGTGAAAGTTTCTCACCTCTAAATCCCACTGATGTCTTTGTAAAACATCTCTACATATCGACATATCCTCTATTCCTGTTAAATCTTGAAATTGTAATATCTTATCAGTTTGTTCTGTGGTTAAACCCATGGCATTGTCTTCTAGATCCATTTTTGCGTAAAGTAAATAATAACAAAAACTATAGTATGGTAAATTATAACGTTGAGAAACTTAAAGCTATAAAAACTTTACGTCAACGTAAATTTATTAAATGTTTTATTATATTGGCGGTATTTAAAGTACATTTGTTGAAAATGATTTTAGAAAATATCTAGACTACTATTGCAATTTTCTTTTCCAACATATACTTGTCAACGTCAGTTTGCTCATATGACAAAGCAATGACGTATTATCATTTTAGTTAAAAGAATAAATTAGAGTATTATCTGTGAAAATAAATGGTCTGCTAAAGGTATTGCATTAGCGTTATAGTTCACACGAGATAGAAAAATAAACTCCAGTCATTATATCGATATATAATATAACCGATAAGAAACTCAGGAAAAGGTAAACTCAAGCTAAAAAGCGGCGTGTAATATATAGTATGAATTCAATTTTATATAAATTGTAGGAAAAAATACTATTTTTTTTTATTTTCAATAGTTCCAAGTAAATGTCTCAATAAGATGGGGGGAAAACATCTTAAATACTTACTGTTCAATAAATTCTAAAAGAAAACTTCTGACTTTGAAGACTAAGCTAATGTTATCTATGGTACGTATTAAACAGTGGATATATTCTATTTCGTCACTAACCGGTAATTTAGATGTAAATAATACTCGATCGCACAAAAAAAATGTATAAATGTATCAATATAATTATTGTAGAAGTTTAAATCCATAGCAATTGATATCGAATATAGAAAGTGTGTATTTTATTTTTTCTTCTTTGCAGGCTTTTCAGGTTGCGCAGGTGGAAGAGGAGGCCGGCAGGCAGGTTCGGTAACTTCTTCAATGACTCATTCAGGTGGCACCGATGGATCTTCATCAGGATCTTCGTACAAATAATCAGCCTTAAATAATAAAAATATTTTATGGAATTTTACGTTGTTCCTAACATTGCATAATTACGTTTCCATTCGTAGTTTTCTTAGCAAAGTTTTTGGAAGATCAAAGAATTGATATAATATAATTATTACCTTTATTTCATTAAGCTCTGGTGCCAAATTAAAAAGACTCTCAACAAATGCGTCGTAAAACACATTGCCATTTCCTGTAACATTAGCGTCTCGTAGCATTTCTATAGTTTCCGATTCATTAAAAATCTCGCCGTAGCCAGTAAGAATCATTCTTAGTTCTTCAATATCTAAAAAGTCTCTGTTTTCTGTGTCAAAAACCTGTCAGTATGATAGATCAAGAAATATTAATATTGTTTATCATTAAATAAATATATAACGTAGGTTACGTGAGCTTTAATCAGTAAATTTCACAAGTTTTGTTTACTCTATTTTATTATATTATGTAGTTTAATGTTCGTATTTATTATACCTACTTTAAAAGCAAGTTTCAATTCGTGTTTTAAATCGGACTGTATAGTCCACTTGTTTAGCATATAGATTAACTGGTCTTTCGTTAACATTCGTGTTACACCTGCTTTCAATTTTTCTGCTTCCTCCATTATTTCCGCGTAGGAGGGATAATGGAAACTTCTTCTGTGGAATCTATATTATAATTTTATTATATATGTGAGTTCTTAATAGCAAAATTCCTTAAAAACAAATTGGATAATAATTAAATAAAAATAATACATTTGCATACTTCTTTAACTCTAGAAATTTCTTAAATTCATCAATGGTGATAACATTAATTGGTTCGCCATCATTTATTGTAAGTCTGGGCTTGGCGGTTTCCTCAAACCAGTTTGAAATGTCTGATAACTGATCATCAGTGAAGGTGACAACAACGTTTTGCAATGGATTAAAGGGGTCAAAATTATCCATATGTATAAAATCAATTTTCAAGATATAATGAAAACATAAAAAACATTACAAAAATATGTCTATAACCTACAAAATGAAGTAAAAAATAACTAATGTAGAGAATAAAAATTTAAACGAACCTACCAAAGAGTTTAAATAAAATTCCAAGTAGGTACTTATTGTGTATTTCATAATAAAAAAAAATATTTATCAATAAACATCATATAAAGCTAGAAGTTATCAGTAAGAATACTTACCAGGTAATTTACTTAATTTGAAATCTCAATTAATGAAAGAATTATTTCGATCGATGGTTTATACTTTTTGTACACACAAAAAGTATAAACCATCGATCTTTTTAATTTAAGACTGATCACAGACGTCTTTAAAAACAAGCAACCATAAGGAACAGAGAACTGTGCACGGTCATGAAGTCTAATGACAAGATGTAAAAGTGCTGTGAACGTCAACGTCAATAAAAAAAATTGGTAAAATAATAATAAAGGCACTATTTATGTTTTTGAAAGCCCTGTAGGACACATAATCATAAAGAAGAATAGAAAAAGCGATTTAGCAATTGCTTACAATTGGTTGATATATAAGTTTTTAAATATTTAAAAGCTCTTTATTCCGTTATTTTCACCGGCAATTTTCCATCGAGAGGATACAATGTTTGAGTCCGATGACTTTGATCAGGTATAAAATAAACAAACATTAAAATTATCCTTGATATTATAAAGACAGAATACAGAATAAACCAGAATCCTCCAATGCGCTTTAAACCTGTTACTACACCAAAAATTTAGTGGCTATTTACCGTCTACCAAATAATTCAGTTCATCTCCGACGCGAACTTTGTACGTGATTGCATCGTCAGTTTTGATTAATAGCATCGATCAAGAAAGCTTATGTTACTAGTACATTATGCCGACTTGTGTCGTTCCCACTTGCAAAAATAATGGCACGATATCAAAGAAATCTGATGGGATCACGTTTCATACGTAAGTAGCACATTTCTAATAAATTTTCTTGAGCTATAAAATTTAATATATTTTTAATTGTTATAACAAACTTTGTTCTTCATTCGTTTTTTGTAATTATCCATACGCTAGGCAGTGAATTCGTTTAATTGTATTGAAATGCTTATTCAGTTTTATTTTATTAGCGGTTGTATTATTACATTAAGACAGTATCACTTTAGATTTCCAGTTGATGAAGAAAGAATGTTGCAATGGAGGAGAATTATTAGAAAAGCACGGCTAGATGACTGTTGGAAACCATCTAAGCGAAGTGTAATTTGTTCAATACATTTTGGGGAGCAGTTCTTTTACTACACAAAAAGTGGTATGAAAAGGCTCAAAAAAGAAGCTATGCCTATTAAGGTACATTAAGTTTTTAGAATTTTAATGAGTTAAAGACAATTTTAATTGTTCCATTAACTCTAACTTAAAGCTTATTAAAATAGAAAGATAAACAAAGAGACCATTGTATGTAAATGTTTCTGCTATTCCAGAACATTATTGTATCTCAAGACATAACTGAAACCCAATTAAATTTATCGGGATTTTTAAAGTCCAAGACTGTAAGTTTTTTTTTATTTATTCATTGTATTACAAAGCACCAGTCTCAAAATAATGTCTGCATTATGCACAGCCGGCATTCACTAATTCTATAACAGAGATAGTTGATGTTGATAATCTGAACTTGGATCGTAAATCTGTCGTAACATCCTCTTCCTTAGAGGGTAAAGCTGTAAGTAGTTAATGTATCTAAAAATCAATTCAGTAGTAACAAAATATTAGTAGTATATACAATAAAGATATTTTTACTATTGCATCCTTTAAAAAGGTTTTATTATTTCAGGACATAGATTCAGAGATGCAGCGGTTGCAAACAAATTCAGATATAAATAATGAGTTTGATAATTTGAAGCAAATGAAGCTAAAAGCACAATTGCGTCGTAAACAAATTTTCTTAGATCGTCATGTTCGTAAAATAAAAACATTACATCAAAAGAACAATCGTTTGGTCAAAAAAAATGAGACTCTAAAAAATATTATAATGCATTTAAAAAGTCAACTGAGACAACAGAAAAATACCTAATATTTAGAGGAGGCCTTTGTCAGTTCATGATAAGAGAGAATGTATCATTTCAATTGTTATTTTATTTTTTACATATTACTTACAATACATATTTATTTTACATAAACGTTTTTTGTTTGATACATACAACCCTGTAGTCATAACCAAATGTACCTTGACAAATTAAGTATGTGTCGAGGAATAAGAACTAAATATGCTACCTACATGAAAGTTATCCTACTTTTTTACTATTACTATTATGTTAAATAATTTTTCACATCATTCTAATTTTGTATAATATGGTTAGAAGTTCATTGGAATCCATACGAACGAAACCACGTCCATTTCACAAATTTAAATTTTAATTAAAAGTTGGTAGATTTTTTAAACATTGCGATGCAAATGCGTTGAGCTTCTGGTCTGTTCTGTATTCTGTGGGTTTAAGCTAGCTTACTAATAAAACCCATTTTACTTTAGGTGTTATCACAACTTGATTTTCCAGAGGTTTCTGGAGAAAAACATGTACCATCCATTGACAATGCTCTTAAAACTACAAACATATCTAGCATATCTTTTCCTACTATAAATACATCAAAAAATGTAGATACAAATGATTTACATTGGAAGGAAAATATTCACTGTAGTGTATCAAATAAGAAAAGCACATCACCAACGTATATTAAAAAGAAAATAATAGACTCGCACTTTGACCATAAGAATAAAAGAAAGTTTCCTGGACCTGCTGGGCTGCTGGTAGGAAACTGTGAAGAAACAAAGGACGATTCGATGTGCCAGATAGAATTATTATCACAGGTAATTTTTTGTCATCACTTTGTTTTATATCAGACATAACTACTTTATATGAGTTACAGGGCGCTCTAATGTAGTTTCAACATGTTTAAAGTTACTTAGGATTTTGTAAGATAAGCAATATTTTGGTCTCTGTGCATGTTTTAGATCTTAGAAGATTTTCATATTTTTCAATATTTTTAGAGAACAACATCTCTAATATTGCTTTATATTACTTTTTCATACGAGACACTGCATCTTACAGGACATAGATTCATCTCAACATTTGCAAAAAGGTATTTTTCACACTCCACTATGGAGTAAGCTGCAAGAAGATACAAGTAACTTAAATTATAGTACAATAAAAATAATAAAACAGCAAGCTCTGGCAGGAAACCTAAGGAAGAGAAAAGCAGATGTTGTTAGAGGGTTTGTCGATTCTATTGATAGATCTGCTATTGATCCACTGTTCACACTGAGAGATCCAACAGGTGATTGAATTGTAATATTTTATATATATAAATTAAAGAAGTGGTTTAGAAAAAAAAATACTAAGCAGGACCGTCTTCTTGGTTAAACTGTTGCCTAGAAGTCTTGGCTTCAAATACCGAGAAGAAATATTTTTTTACGGGATGGCCTGGCAGGGAACTTATCATGTACATGCCATGATGAGTGAAACGACCAAAGAGTAGCGTTAGCCCCATAGCTAACGCATCTGTTTGGTCGTTTCAGACCCCACAGGGGACACAAGATCCTACTACTATGGTTAACCAGGACTCAAATCCATGACAAGCACTGTCAACTATGTTATTGAATTGTTCAGGTATGCTGCGGTAAACGTATTTTGGCTTTAACACTTACGTATAACTTTCAATTTTTCGTTTTAATTTACCTAATTAATAACTAAGCTTGTTATTCAGGTCACATAAAATGTACATTACACCGGGACGCTTGGACATACTTCTCAACCTACATTGCCTCGGAGTGCTGTGCTCTTGTACTTCAAAGAACCACTGTATTAACAACCGGAAGTGCTTTTAAGAAACATTACCTTAATGTTACACTTTACAATATATCCCATATTTACAGCAACAATATTGTACAAGAGGAGATAGAGTTACCTGATGGATTCGTTAAGATAGTAAATGGCGAGTTTACATTGATAAAATGCGATAGACCAATAACAGGTAAGTTTGAATTGTTTTGTAAGTAGTTAAAAGTCTTTGATATTTATTACTTACCTGTGTGTTTCAGATTTACAAAGCAATGAAGAAATAGAGAATAACATTCTCGAGGGTTTAGATGGAGAGTTTGCAGATATTTTTTAATTAAGCAAATATTTGAATAAAGATATAAACAAAATCAAGTTTCTGATACTTTAATGTGTTTGGTCACAATATGTTTGGACAGTGTCGCTGCGTTCGTATAGCTAATGGAGCACATTTTACACTTATGTTTTCCTTCAATAACTTGTTCTGTGCTCAACTCTTCTTCACTTGGACTCTGACTTGCAATTACGTTGAAATGAGATTTAATATGTCTTTGAATCACACTCTGCCTCACTGTTTGAAACTGAAAATTTTGTTTTTTTTTTAATATGACATATTATATGCTAGGCAGATAAAATAATACATTTAACGATTTGAATGTAAATATACGCACCTGACATTCATTACAAACAAATCCCTTAACGCCAGCAACAACCATTTCTTGATAAAGCTTTTCTCTTTTGACTTCGTTTTCATTCTTATTATTGGCAACATTATGCAACTGATAAAAAAAATATTAATGTTTCCCAAAAATATATTTGTTGTGGTGACAAAACTAACAATTAAATGGTAGTTTCGCCGTTTTATGTCAACAGTCAAATATGTTTTGTAAACATTTATATATTGATTTGCGATAGAAATGTAATAATTGAGGTTTACCTCTTGGTGTAGTTTCAGCCGCAGCTCTGTATTAAAAACAGCTGCGCAGGCGCTGCATGCGTAAACTCGCTCGACTTTGCTAGCTTTTTCATCGTGGCTCCCTAGACTTTTCTTTGATTTCAACAAAATAGCTAAGGAACGTTCAACATCACATTTTTTATTATTATTATTTCAAATAAGAAACCCATAATTAGGTGTTACCGGCGATTGTCATTATTTACAACCCCTGTTTAACCTTATTAAAGAGAACAAACATTTCTTGTATGACTTTGATAAATTCATTAAAGAATAAATACTAAAACGTTCTACTAGTACGTGATTAGTACGCGTACCTCGACGATTTAGAGTTATAGAAATTTTCGCAACGCCCACTGGACTATTAACCTCCTGTATATGGATTTGAAGGAAATTCAGCGCATCATCGGATGCCTTATCTGTTCTGTCTGCTTCTGAAAATGTCCATGTACCAAGATGAAAATAATATTACCTAGTATATATACGCCTTTGAGAAACAAATTCAATAAATATATGAATGCTATCTGTTAATAGCGTATCTTAAATAAGATTCAAAAGTATATAGAGCTGTAGCAGGTCACCTCTAATCAAGTGAACTATGCTTGTCTATCCTCAATCAAACAATTATAAAGTTTAGTAATTATTAAGTAATAGTATCATTTGATAGTTTAATCGTTGATCAATATCGTTTGCTTAGATTATTTCAATACTTTTCTGCTGGTGATAACAATTAAAGATTTAGATCAGTGTGGTTAATAAAATGCTAACCGTGTTATCCCAGTCACGGTGTTATTAGTAATTGGTAACTTTACCTTTATTGATTCTTATATTTTGTAACATGTTTGGCAGGTATTGAAAGTCCCATTTGTCGCGTGCCTTGTTCAAGACACGTCCAGTTATTATAATTGGTTCGCTTTCATGCACAATGTTTTGGTCTTTATCTTCTGTTATTCCAATCTGATAGTAAAATACCATAACTTTACTACTTTGTGGAAGGAAAAAGTTTATTTTTTTATAATATTATGTAATTGGATATTTCACTCCTCTTTCTAAAACCTAGTATCATTTATAGTCTATGAAAACGTCGGGAGTAACGTTTATTCTGATAGTTATTTATTAGTTTGTACAATAATGATTTATACGAATAAATTACTACCTTAGTTATGATCAATCTTCTCTCGATAACAGCTGGTTTAAAAGCTGGCACTCTAAGCAATTGCTGGACTACGGGCTGAGCGCTGGTGAGAACCTCTTCTTCACTAAGCGTTGGCACTTCACCATTAATCGCTTGCTGGATTAAAGAGTCGATTTTATCGTGAAATGCGTTTGTTGGATCTGTAAATAGGTATTCATTTTATCCATACAACTAACAAGAGGTCTTGAAAAGGTGTGATCCTGATTCTAGTACGTGGATAACGGGGCAGTGGTTTTATTTGCCTTTTTTACGACTTTTTCAACATATTAAATACTGTCTTTAGTTAACGCGAGTAGTATAAATTTTAACGTTTTAAAACGCGGTTTGCATCAAAGCATCCGAAACATCAAGCCGAAGTTAAAAAATTATTGTCAAATAAGTTAAATTAATATATTTCGCGTATTAACCCGTTAAAGTGTGTTATTTAAATCTGGAAAATGTTATTGCGCCCACCAAAACAGTACTAGGCTATCTGAAATTTAAAAAAGGTTTTTCGCGCTTATCGTAGTACCGTCAAAGTTTGTGGATTACTATTACATATTTTTACTAGGTATAGACTTTTCTATCTATTCTATGCTAATATATAAAGCTGAGGAGTTTGTTTGTTTGAAGTCGCTGATCTCAGGAACGACTGGTTCAAATTGAAAAATTATTTTTGTGTTAGTGTATTTGTCGAGGAAGGCTATACGCTATACAACATCGCGCTGTGACTGATAGAAATGAAGGTACAGCGGGAAATGTAAACAAAACGGGGGAAAATTTTCATCTTTGTGGGTTCCCGATGCGTACGCTGCGCAAACGGTTCAAGAAACCAAAACGAAATGTATGTAACGATCATTCCTCTTTAAATGATCTAAAAAAGACCGCGACGCTATATTTCTATCTTCTATCTTTTAAGATTAACTGCAAGAACAACCCGAAAGACGGGTACGACGGGTTACGATTGTCGTGGGGGTAACAGCTGTAATGACGAGGAAGTTCAAAACAAATTTTGACGGCTAAAATAAATATTATATGCGGACGAAGTCACTGGCACAGCTAGTGCTAAATAAAATTCTATGTCAACGTTGATCTAAAATAAAAATTAACTTACGTATTTTGTGTCTTCTTTTTTCTGGTATAAAATTATTTGATTCCGTATCAGCTTTCGACCGTTCTCTCTTGGTTACTCTTGCAACTAATTTTTTTCCGTTTGCTGTTCTCCCTAGTACAATTTCAGGGGGTATATCTGGAAATTCCTGTATAGTAATTCTACGGATATGAGATTTAAGTTTTAAGGTTCTTGAGTAATCTACATCGATACGCTGTGTTCTCTAAAACAAGATTATAAAGCGTACATTTGCTTACATGCAAATTTACTACAAAAGGTTGTCACCAAAATATTCTCATTCATTTCTTATTATTGCAAAATCCGTAAGATTTTAAACTTAGCTATATTATATACTGATGGAGTCTTAATTATTTCTTACCCTTCAGTGAAAATTTGGTCTTTATCTTTATAGTATTACTGTTTATTCTTGGATCACTATTTTCATACTTTTCAGACAGTTCATTAACTGTGGTTTCAAGGAATTCCCTTTCTGACGGCATCAAACCAGGTACTTCTGAATGGGAGTTTTCTGAGGGCTTTTCTGAAGAAGTAAAGTATAATCATAACTTCCATATAAACATAATCTTATGCCAAGTATAAATAACTGGAATAAATTATTGTATATAATAAGATATGTCTGTACATCCCCCACAATTAAATAATGTATGTTAAAAATTTGATAAATACCTTCTTTAATATTATTATGAATGTCAAATGCCTTTGTATCGCAAGTCTCTTCTAAAAACGGCATTGAGGATTGTTCAATTAATAAGTGCTTTTGATAATTTGCATTGTATGTGGAAGTGCTTTCAGATTCCAATACGTTACTGAAACATTTATTTTTATAAGAAAGGAAAATACAACCATGCAGTTCGTATGAGGTAGCACTGTCGACCTATTTTGGATTTGGACATTTCGATATTCCACAACTAATTTGATTGTTCAATTGAAAACGGAAAGACACTGTCCAAAGCCAAATTGGCTTTGGTGCTTCTATTATTATATTAATAGTTTAGTAAAATATAATATACATTACTAACCTATCCTCTGATCCTGCAAAGTTTGTGCAACTCATTTGTAGCTTCAATTTTTGTATTAACTCTGTAATCAGTCATTAATGCATCAAAACTGAATGCACATAATAAAGGTAACAATATTTCTCTTAAAATTTGAATAAGTAAACACACCCTCATCATGTGTAATGTCATGCAGTCCCATAGTATCAACCAAGTAGACATTTCCATTGTTCTCAATTAGAGTCCATCCTTTTTGTTCTAATATTTTATATTGTTCATCAGTTATAGTTATCTAGAAAACATATTTACTATCAACTCATGTTCTGGTTGTTTATATGTAATGAGTTTGTTTAGTGTAGGTTCATTTTTAAATAAATATCAAAAATGTATAGCAAAAGTATGACACTTAGTCTTGGAACATTTCCTTCCATAAAGAATGAGAGAACACTAGCATTGTCTGCCCTTTTCTGACATTAAAATATATAATAATATTTATATTATTATAATTACTTCTGTGCAAGTAGTTTGATTATTATCTGCTTCCATATTGATATTAACATCCACAGGTGACGGAGATCTTTTTTTTATGAATTGTTCAACTACATCTTCTGTTTCGTGGTCAACTGGTTGTGGGTGCTGTAAAACAAGTAAATCTGATACTATTTTAATGATAAAAGAGAAAGTCAAAATAGCCACATAGCCTATTGCCAGGCTAAGTGGCCATAGTGGCATAATTAGGTATCGCCATTTTATATCACTGATACTGACAATGACTGAATTGATTTCTTATAGCTTATTGTAAGTAAAGAATAATTTCTTTACTGCTTTTGTACAAGTAGAGGTCTATACAGAGTACAGATTTGTATTGAGAATAATATATACCTCCAATTCTGATGAACTAGTTACAGGTTGCAGTATGAAGTTCTCTCCGTAAATATTATTTTTTTCACTGTGTACTTCATTATTAAGAACAAAGTGATCTGAAAAAACAAAAACCATGATGAAAAGATGAATAGTCTATATTTTATGTTTTTAAACCATTCATGTGCCATTAAAATTAAACATCACCAAGCTAAGGGTATTGAAGCATAAGAAAAACCTTTTTTTAAGCTGTATGTAGCAACAATCAGTGTAAGGATATTTTAGTGCATATTCTAAAAAGTATTTTACTATACCTGAAACAGTAATGAGCTCGGACGATCCATCCACATGGATATAAAACTGCTCTGGTGAAACATCATAAACAGGTTGCACTTCCTCCAAAATTTCCACATTTTGAACTTGAGTTACAATGTCTACTGGATTATTAACTGGTAACATAAAATTTACATAAGGTTAATATATTTCATTACTAAGCAAAAGCAAAAGACAACTTTTATTGAAATTATAATTGGACTGTTTTATCACTTACCCCTTTTAAAAAAATGTGTTGCTTTTAAAGTTAAGGCTTTGGGTTGGGTAATTATATATAATTTTCATTTAAATACTTACGAGTTATGAATGTTCCATTATCTTCAACAACAAACAGTTGATCTGACACGTTTTCTGTATTATTCGTATGAATGTATTCAAAAGTTTCGTAGTCACTTGTTTCCATTTTAAGTTAAATATATTAACTTAAAATAATTTATTTAGCAAACGTGTGGCTTGTAAATTGTATTAGTCCCCAGCTGAGATTCTTAACTATAATCATTAGTCTACACATTTATATTTTATGTGTACTAATAATTCGCATATTTGCATTGCATATTATATAGTTTTTCATTATTTTTTGTCGGAAAAAGTATCGCCGATATGTAACTTGTAATATTTGTTTACATTACTTGGCCTATCGATAACTTTATAGAGTAGGATACATAACTTACAGAATATGTCAGAATAGTAATGATAACCACCATGATAAACAGTCATAAAAAACGAAGTATAGGCATTTGTATATAGAAAATATATTATTTTATAACACCTGTATCGTACTTTTCTTAATGGGTTTATTACAGACAGACTACACTAAAACCATAAGTAATTGTGAAATATTATAATTACTCTTTTTTAATAACAGATACAGATAATATAGTAAAGACCATCTATATCTGTCATCTCCTACTGCTACTACATCTGTACTGTCATTGTTCCGTATTTCTAAAACTGATAGATAAATACAAAATATTTTGAAGTCGATTAGCATAGCAGTTAAAACGAAGAAAATTTAGAGACGTTATGCATATATAACTAATAATTATCAAATATTTATTTTATTATTGCACATACACAAAATCAAAATGACGGCTTTAAAAGCATTATCTAAAACTGCCCTAACCGTTCTCTATCCTAGGCAGAAGTGTACTCTTGTGCTTAGAGGAAATCAAATTCGAAATCTCATGTCTAGACAACTTGTTTACAATGAATTCGGAGATCCTTTACAGGTAGTGAAATACAGGGAATGTGAAGTTCCAGCTCTTGGGAAGCAAGAAGTTCTAGTGAGAATGCTAGCAGCACCAGTAAATCCTGCCGATATAAATACTATTCAAGGTAATTGTATGATAGTGTTTCAGGTTAATAGATAAAATAAATTATCTCCAAATATATTGAAGAAGGTATTGTGTCTGTCTGTCTCTTCTGATATTCACGTGTTTTAATTAATATGTAGTAAATATTTTAAATTTTAGGTAAATATCCTGTCAAAGTGAATTTACCATCAATTCCGGGTAATGAAGGAGTAGGCTTTGTAGAGCAGGTTGGATCAGAAGTTCAAGATCTACAGCGGGGGAATAAAGTCATCCTAGCAACTTCACTTCAAGGCACTTGGCGGAACTTAGCAGTTTTTCCACGCACATCACTAACTGTGGTACCTGATGCCTTAGGAAATGTAGAAGCCGCAACTCTTACAGTGAATCCATGTACAGCATTTAGAATGCTATCTGACTTTGTATGTTTAAAGAAGGATGATGTTGTTATTCAAAATGGTGGAAATAGTGCATGTGGACAGAATGTAATTCAGATTTGTAAAGCATGGGGCATTAAAACTGTTAATGTTGTTAGGGATCGACCTGAAATTAGTGAATTAAAAAAGTATTTGACAAATTTGGGAGCAACTTATGTTTTTACTGAAGAAGAAATGCGGAGTGCACAAATTTTCAAAGGTGAAGTTAAAAAGCCAATGCTTGGTTTGAATTGTGTTGGGGGGAAAAGTGGAGCTCAGTTATTAAGGTATATGAATCATAGCAGCACAATGGTTACCTATGGTGGTATGTCCAGAGAACCAGTTATAGTTCCCACATCTGCATTTATTTTTAAAAACATATCATGTCATGGATTTTGGATGACGGAATGGAATAAACATGCACCAGCAGAAGCGAAAGAGCAAATGAAGGATTCATTAATTAAGCTTATGTTAACAAAGCAACTTAAAGCTCCTACACATAAATTAGTTAAACTAAAAGATTTTGAGGAAGCCTTAAAAAATGCCCTTGCTCCCCAAGGATTTGCGGGTTGTAAATATATTTTAGACTTTACTGATTAATACCTGTTATTTGCACTGTTAAAAAGAAAAATGACACAAATGAGCTACCATGATGTCATTAGAACATCAGCAAGGATATCTGTGGATGCAGTTTGTGTCCTATGCATGTCATCAAATTATTTATTATGTATACTGTTCATTGATATTTACTAGATACTTATATTTTTAATTGATTAGCTTTAAACGCCTTTATAAAATGTTACAATTAGTTAAGTTATCTGCTGTATTTAATGTATATAGGATCAAATATTAAAATCTTTAATATGTATGTATGTATGTACTTTGTTTAAATAAATGTTTCAACAACATTTTTGGTAAGTTATTGTATTTTAGTGTTAAGATTTTCAATTGCTATAACTTCCCTTGCTTCCCTTGCATGCTTCATTACCTTGTTTCAAAATGTTACTTATTAACTTTTGCTTTGCTATTGGCTTAATTCATATCATTACCTTAAATAAATAAAATATGAAAAAAACATTTTTTCAGGGAGAAATAAATGTCTACCAAAGTTGCCAACAGTCCCGGGTGACGAAGGAGTTGGCGATGTAGTAGAAATTGGAAGTCATGTTTGTACTGTGGAGCCTGGTGAGAGAGTGGTACTCACTTCTAGGATGCTTGGAACCTGGCGTTACTACGGGGTATACGATGAAAGAGATGTACACGTCATATCTCCCAAACTAACACTCCCAGAAGCTTCGACACTTACGATTGCTCCATGCATGGCATACAGGATGCTCAAAGACTTTGGAGATCTCAAACCAGGTGATACCGTGATACAAAACGCTGCCAATAGCGCTTGTGGGCAGTGTGTCATACAATTATGCAAGGCCTGGGGCTTGCAAAGTTTTAACATAGTAGCGAATCACTGCGGGTATGAAGTTGTTAAAAAGAATTTAATGAGTTTGGGAGCAACTGCCGTTTACACCATTGAAGAGGCAGAGGCTGTGACGAGTTTCAACACGTCTCTCACGAGGCCTAAACTGGCTTTGAACTGTCTGGGAGGTAGATTTGAGGATATTCTGCTGAAACTATTGGAACGCAATGGATCTATTGTTTACTACGGATGTGCTTTCGATTTGCCTATAGTAAAGTCTTGCTTACGGCCGGATTTGCTTTTTAGAACATTTCATTTATGCGACTGGAATTCTCGAGCGACTCCCGTCGATGTTGACAATATGATGAATGCTATAATCAAATTAATGGTTGTCGGCGCCTTCAAAGCACCGATCTATCAGCCGCTAGAACTTAAGAACTTCGTGCACGCTTTTCGAAACACTGTGCATTGTGAAGCATTTTCAACGGTTAATTATATTTTTGACTTTACCATGCCTTAAACAAATGAATTGAAAAAAAATCATCCTTTAAACAAATTACAAATAGCTTACACTTTAATGTGGTTTTATATACTTTTATATTTACTCTATTTTTTTTATTTATATTCCAATAAAAAGTAAAAAATAACTATCAAAATAAATCTTTTATTAAAATGTTTTAAAAATTAAAAGAACGTATTTAATTAATTTTAAATTCATCACTAAGGAAGCGGTGAACTCGTAAGTCTAGATCTTTCTTCGCTGTTGGTGCTGTTGAGCTGATGGGAGCCAAGTCTTCCGGTGGTGGTTGACGGAGTTTTGGTATACGAAATCTTCGAGCGCGAGTTAGTTGCCAAGTATTACTTGTATTTCGAAAACTACCATGAACTAGACCGATATCTTTGTCCACGGCTGCAGGAATTGGTCGTGGGGTGCTAAAAAGGATAAAATATGTTCAGTATATTGTTCTTCTCTCTTTTAACAAAGTGAACGGCAAAGGTTTATTTATGGTGTATTACGTACTATCCAACTGTAGCCGCCGCCCTTAAACGAGCTGGAGCAATAACTGATGGCAGATCATTCGAGAGGTTTCTTTTGAGACCTGATAGAAGAATTATATATAATAACTAAATTAGGAAACACAATGCAAAAGCTACATCACTGCTAAAAGATGTTAACTGATATTACTTTTATTTGAAAACTTTTAATATTTACATTTATTTTACATGATGGCTGGCACTATATAAATGCGCGAGAGTTGCATATATCAATAGGTTGAAAAAAATGGACGATGACGCGATGGATGCGGTTAGTCATGTAGTCACATTTTTTTCAATTTATTCTCGATTTTTAATTTACTTTTGTTTATTAAAAATTAAATTTACCGGAATATTTAATATTTTTGAGAGAGCTGCGATCTCGCCACTTCTGTGAGCACACTGGACACACAGAACGTCGGATTGACCATCTTGGAAGCTCCTGCTTCTCAGGAGAAGCTGGTTTTTGGAAGGCAGGTATTTGTAGCTCAGCCTGTAATTAAATTTTGACATTAGCTAAGAACGTGTCCGATGAGGATTGTTTCCACTCTACAGTACGTTACCGGAGATGTAACAGAGGCTGTGAATGCTAAAATCGAAGGTATGTCCATATCTCGACGGGTTGATACTCGCGAGAAACGTGACCGTGATACGCTGCGGTCTGTCATGCGAAAATTCAAACCGTGGACGCATGACTCGTAAGTTTGACTGTAATTAAAAATTTTATATGTCAGAATATACATTTTACCAAGCGAAAGCATCGCCCTAAAATTGATTGCTGGCTTGGTTATATTAAAAAGAAGATATTTTTTTTATGATAGAGGAGATCACATAAGCACGGAGTTGACTTGATGGTATGTGTAATACTCCAGCCATATAACATCTAAACAAAATGCGCTGTCGACCCATTTTGGCTTTGTATATCGGAAATGGAAATACACCGACTGAAACCGAAACGCGATCCACCCATTTAACATCCAGATTTTCAAACGAAGTACATATTACAGAAAGATTATAAACATGTAGGTAGCTAAACATTGATACAATTACACCAATGAACCCGCCAATAGTCCTACCATGTAAATATTGCAAAACTAATTTATAAAATTCGTGGTATGTAATCTTTTTTTTGATTTCTTTCTTTTTCTTGTCTTATTACCATAATTGAATAATATTTAAGTGCGCAAATTATAATATCTTCTACAATGATCACTTTGTTCTTGACAAAGATAATATTGTATTATTGCTGTGAGAATACAATGTTATTTGCATGCTATTCAATCGAGAGTGAAAGCAAAAAATAAGAAACTTTTATTTTTAATGTGATGCGTGTATTCCGACAATGATTAGATCTTGCCAGGAAAATCTATATACTTATACAGAAAACTAATAAATATGGTAAGTATACCAGACAGTAGTCTGTAAACTAATTTAAATGTGTCTGTAGTTTAAACGCGAGTACTACACCTTTAAATAAAACAGTTTCACGGTCTAAAACGCGATATATATTAGTTAAACTTATTTGGAAATTATTTTAACTACGGCCCGACGTTTCTCATGCTTTGCACTAGCATACATCGCGTTGTAAACCGTTAAAGCGTTTTATTTTAAAAATGGCGGTGTATGAAAAAATATATTATTATTGGTGAATACTCTGTTACACATTACTCTTCTAAAACTTTTTCACGTTCTCTCGGTAGTGCAGGTGTTGTATCGTGAACTTCATCTTGGACTTCTCTGCTCCGCGATCGTACCATGTCCAGGAGCAGTGTATCCAATGGTCCCAAATTGTCCGATCTGTATGAGAAATAATGATACGGGTGATTGCATTTCCACTTAGGTATATTAATCTATACTAATATAATATAAAGCTGAAAGTTTGTTTGTTTGAACGCGCTAATCTCAGGAAATACGAGTTCGAATTAACTTGTTTTGTGTTGGTTAGAGCATTTGTCGAGGAAGGCTATAGGCTATAAAACATCACCCTGTGACTGATACAAGCGAAGATACAGCTGGCAATGTGAAAATTATTCATAACTTTTGGTTACCGAGGCGTACGCTGCAAGAACGGTTAAAGATACCCAAATAATATGTATGAAAGAATTAATCCTCTTTAAATGATCTAAAAAAAAGTCCGCGGCGCTATAACACTATCTTTTAAGATTAACTTGCAAGAACGACCCAAACGACGGGACGCGTACCACGAGATACGAATATTGTGGGTAACAGCGATCTACACTAATATTATAAAATAATAAAGAGGAAAGATTTGTATTTTTGTATGTAACGGATAAACTCAAAAAGTACTGGACCGATTTTAATAATTATTTTTTCATTAGAAAGCTACATTATCACTGAGTAAAAAATTATAATTAGTACTAGATTACGACAGAAATCTTTATAAATTTATATTAAAAGCAACGGGAGGTGTAAAAAAAATTGCCATAAAATGTCTTTCATCGCATACGCTGCGAAGGGTATTAATGATAGGACAAAAAAATGTTCGACAATATTATAGAATATATCAATATCTACAAAAAACATCGCGAGACCATATGTCTAACTATTGTAGTTACGTCACTATAACTACTTTTTTACATTTAACAAATTGATAGAAATGCCGAACAAAATCAAACCGTGTTATCCATACCATTTATAATTTTTTATTTAAATAATCTATACTAATATTCTAAAAGCGAAAGTAACTCTGTCTAACAGTCACGTCTGTCCGGCTTTAACTCCGAAACTGCTGAACTGTATTTAAATGAAATTTGGTACACAGATATTTTAGAGCCTGAGAAAGGAAATATTATGCTACTTTTTAATGCTAAAAAGGGTTGAAAAAGGGGATGAAAGTTTATATGGAAATTCGTGATTTTTGAAGCTAGAACAATGAAACTTTCTTCTTTGGCTTTTTGGGAATAGGAGTGGGAGTGAGAGTGAGTGTAGGAAGAGAGGTTAAAGTCAATGATAGTGGAAGTTAAAGTAGGAGTGATGTGAGGTGTGAGTATTGCGGCAAAGATGCACTTACAACATAGATTGACTTAAATGCGCCCTTACCTAAATTAATAAACAGCCTGAATAATTAAAAATTCTACCCCAAGTCACTATTCCACGCGGACGAAGTCGAGGGCACAGCTAGTATGTTATAAAGTTGGCGAGATTGAATTTAGAGATCTCTATAAGACTCTTAAAGGAATGGAACTAGCTCTTTGGGGGGGCCCCCCCGGGGGGGGGGCCATACAAATTCGAACTAGCTTTCTAGACGTAGCCTAACGTCTTCTGGATGGTGGTTCCTATTTAAGACTCTCGGACGTTATGCAAATTGCTTCACATAATTATAAATTGATTTGAAACATGACCCGGTGGAGACTAAACCTGCGACCCGTTAACTATTAGCAATGCATTGACCATCGAGCCCTTCAAGCGTTAATAGCTTATTGTTTATTTTTGAATCACACTAAAGGCTACTAGAGCCAGAGTGGCCTATTAACAAAAAAAAAGATTTTCAATAGTCACTGTACTCTTATCGATTAACATTTTTAAGACTATGAAATATAAATAAGTCAAGGCATAAAACTGCAGTTAGGCCACTCTGGCTCTAGCGGCCTCACATTGATTTCTAGAAGAAAATTGTCTATTGATGAATAAACAATAAGACCCGTGCTATATTCATCAAATGTTAGCACAAGACACATCCTAGACGGCTCTTTCTTCGTGATATGATAACGATTGATTTGAAAATCTGCTCAACAAATATGTAATGACAAAATAATTTTGCATTGTTATTCCCATTCGTTCTGTGAAACCTGTTCAAGTGACTGGTGAACGCTGAACTAATATTTTGATTTAACAAGCAATGATGTTGATCAAATTGTGTTTAACTAATGATAAGTCGATACGAATTACTGGAATTAGTTATTAAATAATTAGTCTAGTACCCTACCTCTGAAACGCCGATTTCCCAAAAAATATAAATAATTCGTATGTTAACGATGGCTATGTAATTAGAAATGTAAATTACAGTTAAATACTCCTCTGAGTATTGTTTGTTTAAAACATATACTAAATGATTTCGCGTCCTTATGTGAGTTAACAAATATTGTTTAATCAGTTGTAGGTATGTATATAAGAGTAATTTAAGTCATTTATATGTGTTACGATTTGTATTAAACGGTCCAATGGGATTTGATAAAAAACAAAAATCAAGCCAAACATTCAAGTGATAATTTCTGTCAATCTTCGAAATGATAGTTCATTATAACTTTTAAGACTTTGTTTTTGGACAGCGACTTATAAAGGGGTTTGTTTTTTTTTATTATTGTAAAACATAAATAATAACAATATATTTGACGATAATGTCTGTTAGGTAGCGTTCTATATAGAAAATAACATTACTTAGTGGTATCATTTTATTAGTGTAAAGTAAAATCCCGCTTCCTCCTGAACATGGGGCGAACTGATTTCGTGTCGTTCACATGGCAAATAGTTGATCAGACTTCTGTGCCCTGCCCGACCGAAGCAATTTATTGTTTCCCTGGGATTCAAACTCTGGTCCTCTCGCACTTAACGCAACACTATACACGTTAAACCATCTCGCTGCAGAGGCCGTCAATAATTTTGTCTTGTTATTTTAATAGCTATATTCTTTTCTTTAAAATACATATTACACATCGTTCTGTTATGGAATTTCTGTTATACAACTAAGCCGAACCTAATTTGGTGGTAAAGCAATCATTTAATTCTGATATCAATGCATTGTACATCGACGACAGCCTAACATTTTGTGAAACCTCACTTCCGCGCCGTCCATAGTAATTCAAGTTATGTAATAAATATGACGCTTTCTTACTGTTGACTGCTTCGATAGGTGCTTTCACTTTGCTGTGACATTAGGGATCTGAAGAACGGCGGGGTTGGAATAGTCGAAGTCATGGACCCTTCGCGGCTGGCGCGTAACTTCATCAGCAGAGACGCGTATGGAGACGTTTCGTTGCTCATAAATGATATACGGCGCGCAGGCTCCTCCTTTCGCCTGGAATAGAAGGTCTTTATGATAGAGGACAGACAAGAATAACTTGATGGAAGATGACCCTTGTAACAACAAGATGCTCCGTCGACCCATTTTGGCTTTGGATATTCAGAACACACAGACTGTAACCGAAATGCGATTAAACTTCACAGCTCATGCACCCGGAGGGAATTTTCGATATTCTTACTTACATAATAAGTTTTAAATGTAATCCAGCCAGTATTGCGTTGAATCCCGCAAAGCAATAGAATTCATCTTTAAAATCAGAATTTGATGAGTAAAAAATTAATTTACGCAAGTTTAAATCGATGTTGTTAAATAAGTCATAAAATTTTAATCGAATCATTTATTTATTATGTACAAAAGTTTGTGTATATAAATATGTGTAAAACGTATTTAGACACATCTAATTACTGTCAAAAGTTCAAAAGTTTACTTCTATGAAATTTTAGTAGGACAACATATTTTGGAGAAACTAAAATATTTCTCGGAATAGTTCTTATGAGGGATAGACAATTTCGACGACTGTCTTTGACTTTTAGCTTCTTAACATCGATGAATCACAAATGACTCACAGAGAAGGCGATAGACGTGTATTTAGTTGAGTTTAATTTACGTCGCTCAGCCTTGGGGACTGCTTGGTTCGCTACAGGTTAAATGTAATATTACTTGTACAGGACATTTTACTAACAGGGACAGACCTCGCGATGAGTATAGTTTTGAGTATCTTGCTTTCCAATCACCATCTTTTTTCCACGTCGATTGAACTCTAAAACAATGAAACGTGTAGATTACATGTACACTTTAACCGTTTTAAAACGTGAAAAATATTCGATAATTTATTTTTAACAACACCGACATTTTAGTGCCTTCATGGTTTCGTATAATGAAGTCAATTAAGAAATGTTAATAAAACTTTTCGTGAGGAAAAAGTAACGAATATAAAATGAGACAGATTAATTTGATAACTATATTATAGGTAAAAATCGATGCCTATTGACTATTGTTGTTCGTCGCTTTCGTTTTATCGTGTGATGGTGATTTTTATGACTTCTATCATCATCTTCAGTCCTGTAATAATTCCAGCTTGAGAGGCATAAGCTACCAAGTTAATGGTAAAATACAATCCAATTTTTGATTCCAAGCGGCATCTACACAAAGTACATGTATGGACATCGAACTCAGGGCCTCGCAGATGTAAGAGCTTCACTATATAATACGAGTTATGTGCACTGTCAGTGGCAATTCAATACGCGAATAATAACATTTTATCTTTTTGTGGCTTCAACCACCAACATCTATATTATAATCATAAGTGAAAAGTACCTATTTATGCATAATGCTAATTTCCTTTTGCGGTGTGTTATTGGCACGTTGCGGAAAAATGAAAGTTACCGAGTCAAATTATTCTTATCGAGGTCACGCAAGGTTGTGCTCCCAATCTCTCTCAAGATTAATTAGATGACCAAAAAAGTTTCTTTAAATTAAAAAAATATTAAAAGTGCCACTGCAAGGTGAGACGAAATGTGACACGAATTACCTCGCCAAGTTCTTGAACTTTTCAATACTCACTGCATTTTAACTATATCAGGAAATGATTTTGGAAAGAATAAAGGAACAAAAATAATGATTTTCTGTACAAAGCTGCTTTGGGATGGCTGAAGTAAATAAACATGACTTCTTCGGCCATCGAAACAGTTTGTCATTAATGCCATTCCTACATTACTTCAAAGTGTGTAAAAAGTTTATATTCCTATTGTCGTTGACCTTAGATATGATTTAAATAATATCTATATCTATACTAATATATAAAGTTAAGAGTTTATTTGTTTGAACGCGATAATCTCAGGAAGAATTGGTTTGAATTGGAAAATTATTTTTGTGTTGGTTAGAGCGTTTATCGAGGAAGGCTGTAGGCTATACAATATCGCGCCGTTGGAGCATAGAAACAGTGTGTGTAAAAATCGGGGAAATTATTTATCTCCGTGGATTTCCGATTCGTACGCAGCGAAAACGGTTCAAGACACATAAAAAATTGTAACAAATAATGATTCCTCATTAAATAATCTAAAAAATGCCCACGAAACTGTCGACCTTACAAACAAAAAAACTTAAACCAGAGCTAGGGAGTCTTGGTTTAAATCTTAAACCATGGTCTAATTGAATCTAAGTTAGTACCATACTTAGCCCAGTACAAACGTTAAACTGCGTTTTGTAATAAGGATTTCAAATAAACCAGGGTTTAAACCAGATTTGAGAGTTAGTCCTTGTTTTGTAATAAGAGTTATTAGAATATGTCTATCTTTTAAGACTAACTTGCAAGAACAAGACCCGAACCGATGTCACCATCGATGCCACCGATGTCGCAGGCTTAAATTCATAAAGCTGAAGAGGAAGTTTTCAAAAACAAATTTGGATGCTCTAAATTACTATTCTACGTGGACGAAGTCGCTGACAGAGCTAGTTATTATAAAGGATATTCTTTGCTTTGAAGCTCGACAACTCACTAGGACTTCTTTTTAATTGCACCGTTTTTGTTTACAATAACAATAACCAAACAAAGATCCCAATTGGGATATTATAAAAATTAATATTATCTTATATTATTTGTATTATATTGTATATTATATCTTTGTATTTGATATTGAATAGCACGTAATTACGTCCTATTCCTACCGTGCATTGACTGAAATTTTAATTGGACACAATTCAAAATCCTCCATCCTTCTTCTCGCAACAAAGTTACATTTTATAAACCCATAAGCAGCACTAAGTACGTGAAAGATAGAAGCTGTAATTTTTGAACATAGTCGATATTTTATCTAGTGGTGTCTCAGAATAAAACGGTGTATATCTAATTTGATATTTCAGTTGCAGTTTTCTAAATTATTGTTATTACTTACTTATTGTTCTTGTTTCATAGAAATGTCTTTTATTGTGTTATACATTTCTTATATTTCCGTCGAGTAGGTATAACTTTTACTTAACTAAGTCTATTTGTTTAGGGTTAAGTATTTCTTGGTTCTGTATATTGTTTCTTTCGTTTCCAAAAAAAAAACAAAATTAAGAAACAATTAAAAAATAGAATCTTATTAAAGTCCGAAACGTCCGACCGTCCGCACGTTTAATTAATAAAAAAACTAATATATAACGCATTTTAAACCGTTAAACTGTTTTATTTAAATGTGTAGTAGTGGTACTAGTGTAGTCGCGTAAACTACGGACAGTATCGTATTAAACTTATTCAACATTAAAATTAAGTATTTACTTATTAGCATGTAGCGTTTGTATGATACAAACCTACCTCGTATACATGTAAAAATTAATATTGTCGACATGAACAAGATTACCTTGAAAATGATATGTTAAGAATCATATGAAAACAATTGTTAAGTTACACAGCTAAGGGCATTATGTAAGTCACAGTACAAGAAACTAGATCTAACTGTGGTGTTAGTCCTTTATAAGTTAATTTAGCAAATGTTTTACTTTGTAGATTACACGTGATAGTGTAATTTGCATTCTAAAAGATAAAACATTTAGTCTTAATAAGAACAAGGAAATCCTGGATATGTAACTCGCTATATTATTGTATGTAGGTACATCTTAATCACCAAGATTAAATAATTACGAATTGACTTTATGTAATCTATGTATGCTAATATTATAAATCTGAAGAATTTGTGTTTGTTTGTACGCGCAAATCTTAAGAGTAGTTCCTGAGATTGGCATTTATTACGCGGACAAAGTCGCTGGCACAGCTAGTTAGTATAGTATATTTTTATTTTAAGTTTGGATTTTTTAAGTTCCATCCAAAATAACTCTTCTTTGTCGTAATAACTCTACTAAAAAAGTTCTTAACTATACCGTTAAGATGAGGCTACAGTAGATTGGGAACGTCCTGAATCAATGTCAAAAATCTCGTGGGAGCGTTGCTTGGCTTATTGTTAACACAAGCAAACATTAGTTAAGTGTCATAGCTTTGATACAGTAACATTCGATAATAGGACTTAGGCGCGTTTCGTTGTTTTGATCGTAAAGGCTACGACAGGCGCTTGCAATATATTGGCAACGAGTAAAGCGCTTTCGGCGCTCTATGAATACATTCCAATACTTTTTATGATATACCCCAAGCGATCTGTGTTAAATAATAAGTTATTTAGTGACTACCTAGAAAAAAATACATTAATCTTCAATAAGCTTTTCTGTACATAAAGGTTCACAGCATCTATTGAAATATTGTATGCTCTTATTTAATATTATTTTATAATCAAAACCATCTTAGCACCCATCCTTTTATTTTGTACGTTAATTAAGTTTAAAGTTCGTCACTACTATTTATTTCTTTTCGGAGCGAAGAGTATTGACTATAATCTTTCAAAAGGTAATAGAAATTTAGTTTATTTCCTACTACATATTTGTATGACCTATACATACGTAGAAATGGAATATGGATACCAAATAAAATACTGACCCGAGTATAGGCATATTGCAGCGCATTATTTACTGTACGAGTGGGCCACCACCGCGAGCGCTGAATCCGCCATTAGTTGAGCTCGCGAACGTTGGTGCGCACGTCGCGTTTCACTCTTCGCATACACGATAACGCGCCCTATTTAAACGTAACGTACGCTCCACAATCATCTATTTATACACGCGAAATCTAAACAGTTATATTTTATAACGTTTTACTCGATTTATTTAATGTTAGCCTTCAAACCGGCTCCGTGACCATATGATCTGAGACGCCCTCAGATATCGGTGCAGTTACGATGCGGATTAACAATTTAAAAGTGCAATTGTGAAAGACGGATCTCGGGGATGAATCACGTTTGAACTTTCTCAAAGTGATGGTAAAGTTTTGATGTGTGATTTGTGATCTGGTAAATGTGAGAGCGATGGCCGGATCCGAGGAGGCCCCGGCTGCTGAGGTCCGCAAACGCGGCATCAGCGGTTCAATGTCGCTTCGCACCAAAAAACTCGGCCGCCGTTTGTCAAGGAGTATGTCTATAGTGGCGCTGAAGTTGCCAGAGAAGGCGCAGAGCATCACACGAACATCGACCAAGTTGATGCGCTCAGGCAGCAGAGACAAGAAGAACAGATCTTTCGAGCTCTCCGTGATATTACCGGATAAGACACAGAGACAGGTGAGGAACTGGTGATATAAACGCATATATTCGCCTATAGGTAGCGTATTCAGTAATAATATTATGGCAGAAGTCGTAAAGACGAGGTGTAACATTACTAATGCAATCAAACTATCAGCGAGTTCCACACATTTTAGGCTTTTCGATAAGTTATAGCTAATCTTAATGATAATAAATGGTAAATAAACATTTAGATAAGGTACGCGATTTCTTATTCTATACATAATATATCCCTAATAGGTGGCCCTAAAAAAATATAGATGGTACTTAGTTTAGTCTATACGGTAACTTCGTACCTATCTAGATCGTTAACTCTTGTCTATTCAAATCAACAGATTAATTTTTTTATATACATTTGTTAATTAACGAGCCATTATTATTTAATACTATGTGTCTTTGTCCGCGTACTTCCCATCGTTCTTGCAAGTTAATCTTAAAAAAAAAAAATAAGTATAACATCGCGGACATTTTTTTGGTTTTAAGTAAAGGGGATTTTCTTTCATCATTTTTGTATCTATTTGAAATGATTGATTGAACCGTTTTTACAGCGTGCGCATCGGAAACCCATAATGATGAATAATTTTCCCAATTTTGTTCACATTTCTCGCTGTATCTTCGCTTGTATCGACACAGAGCCTATATATAGCCTTCCCCAATAAATGCTCTAACCAACACAAAAATTATTTTTTCAATTCGAACCATTCCTGAGACAAGCGCGTTCAAACAAACAAACAAACTCTTCAGCTTTATGTATTAGTATAGATAAATATTATATTAAACCTTATAAGTACCTAAACTTTACAAAAGGAAGCTTAAATTTAAATTAAAACGACTAAACAATGGTTGAAGAACAATGAAACATATCTTTAAACGTCACAGCGGTATATCATAATTTTAGTGTGTAATTTTGCAAAACATATCCGATACAAGCAGTCGAAACACGTACGAAATACGTGTAAAGCTGCATTCAAATAATATTCAAATGTGTCATTTGGTTTTCGTTGTCACCTCGGCGGTAGTCGCCTACACTTAAGATTTCTCCAACGATAATACAATGATCTACAATCACATTCAAATCCGCCAAGCATTGTTGACTATTGTTACTGAATTGCGCGCTTAACCAGACAATGGTTTTGCCAGTGTCTTAAAAATTAATTTCTTATTTTATTGCAAGCTAATTCAATAATTATTTTGTATAATAGAGGAACACCAGCACGGTTTATTTGATAGAAGGTGAAATTCCCTAGATTAAACTACGCTGTCAACCTTTACTGTGTTGTAAATCTACAGATTAAAATTGAAACTAAATGTTTTATCTGTGACTGGCGGTGCATGACCCGCACAGAACTATAATCTTATATAATATGCCACCCAGGTTTTTCAGGCGACGGAGCTCATTTGTGTAGAAAAAGTATTTTTTGCTGGGCCCGTTGGTTATTTGCTAAACTTGAACCCGTCAAAAGTACGCTCCGTTTGCGTTAAGTAATTCACTATAAATGATGAATCGGCAACTTCCTCCAAAAGTAAAGGACGGCTTTAATTCCGGCTACCGCCTTGCATTTATTTTTTCACTAATTACGTGTACTATACGGCTTCGAAATCAAGGTCGGTATAAAGATTAATTTTGTACTAAGTTTGGAGTACTTGGACACTAAAACTTAAAATAAAGATTTTTTTGTTCTGGCGACATTTTGTTTTGCTTATCTGTTGTTTTTATGATACACTCTATTATGCTATCTCAATAACAAGCATAAGCTCTAACTTACCTCTAATAACGACATTTGAATTCGCGTTGTAAATACAAAAAAGTATTAGTGCAGCCACTATAATTGTTTTCTATGTAATTATTAACTACTACCATTAATGATATGAATGTTATCTAAAATCCTTTATCAAAATATACACGATCTTCACTTAAAAAAAGTTTGTTTACTTAGAAGTGCATCCATTTTTACATCAATTGGAACTATTAAATAATGTGCAATTTTACATTTATCTCAATAAGGATGGCCGCCTACGCATATAATAAAGATGATACTGGAATTGTCATTTCAGGAAATTATACATTATCGCTACATATTTCAAGCGATTATATAGATAGACTATTCACTATAGTGTATTTTTCCAACTTGGTATTTATGGTAAACAAACCATAAAGTTAAATTCGAAGTTAGCCGAGTGGAAATCGCGCTTTCTCAGAAGGTTTTCATTGATTTACACCAATACCACTTTGACACACTGGACAATAAAATACTAAAATAATGAACTACATACCTCAAATTCTCTTAGTAAAAACCAGAACTTTATGCCAAAATTATTATAAATCCTAAAAATGAGTATACGTAAATGGACAGATAAAATATCTTTACTTTGACATTTACATAATGATGGGATGAAGCCAACTTCAACGACAAAAGAAGTTAGCAGTTAGAAGAATCGTTACAAATGTCAAGTGTAAATCATAATAACATAAAAAATAATAAATAGAACGACGAAAAAGTAAATGTCGAAAAAAAAATCGTTTGGTCCATATATAATCGATGTTTTTTATCCCTGTGTCATCTGTGGCTATGACTTTACTCTCAAAAGGATTATCGCTAGTTGTCTATGGTTTGAAATCGGCCATATTTGTTATGGTATTTTGATAATTTAGAAAAATACAATATAAATCAGGCTTTTCCTAACAGTGGGTAATGGCGTCTATATTGAATAAATATATTGCTTAACGAGTGAAAGTAATGTCGCAAGAACTTCAGAGTTTGGCGTGTGCGCATGTCATGCGGGTAATGTACAGGTGGCTTAATTAAATAGTCTCATGACTATTGTCTGTCTGTTCCCTGTGAATGCGCATAATCATTTATTTTTATAGCTAGCGTATTAATTACTGGCGTGGTTATATTTTTAATAATTTTCTCTCATGCAATTTAATCTCTACTTATTGAGTTTATTTTAAACGGAAAATATTTCTTAGATATTTGTGGCATTTTCTATTTGTTGTGTATTAATATGTTTTGTTAGAAAATGAGAAGGTTTAATGTGTTAAACGATTAATTAAACACAGTTAAGTTGAGTAAAATCAGAGTTTACATAACATTACCCATTCTTTAAAAGTTATTATAAACAACTAAACTCACAAACAGACAATACTGAAACACTGTTTGGCTTAATAAGATTTTAAAGAAACAAAAGAATATTTTAATACCTACAAAATACTTTATTGGTGGGCTTTTTATACGAGTGTAATAGAAACATATCAATACGATGATTTGGGCCTTCCTCACTAAGATTTTTTTTAAAGATTTCATTTTTGTTTTGTCTCAAGACGCAAAACCAGGTGAAATCTCGATTTCTCAGTTCTCCAATTCTATTAGATAAAGCGTCTCGCCAAACAAATAGATTTTGGCATGTGTTTTGTTTGGCAATGTATTTCTGTTATACGAGCGAAGTGTTAAATAGTATGATCAATATTGTTCCTAATTCCGATGGCGAGGTATTTCAATGTATATTATCATTGAAATGTTCTTCAATGTCTAATTTTAATCGCCCTTATATCATTACCTATAGCGTCTGTAAGATTAGAATTAGCTGAAGACAGAATACCAGAATATTTTCGTTTTTTTTTTTCGAAGAAAAGAAACTCAGTGCAACATATATTGTGCCTTTTCTACACGTAGACAGACGCGTCTTCAAACGGCATCTGCATACACGTCCGCCAACGTGTAGAGCATCACATTGTTTATATGAAGAGGTTACATTAAATTAGACGATTAATGATCATTATATGTGGCTTACAAATTAACAATACATTCGATTTAAATAAAACACTTTAACGGTTTAAAACGCGATATATTAGTTAAACTTATTTGAAAATGATATAATTTAACTAATATATCGCGTTTTAAACCGTTAAAGTGTTTTATTTAAATGTGTACTACTCGCGTAAACTATAGACAGTATTTAATACATTCGATTTTTAGTAATATTTACAGTATGTATATTTATAATTTGGCTTAACCAACCTAGAGTCACTTTTCCCCTCAGTCAGGAGCGGTAGCTGTTCTATTCAATTCTTCTTCTTTCATTCTATTAAATACTTTGCATTACATATACTCCATTTTATATATAGATGTATCCATAATGTAAATATTCAAGGTTTGTTGTTATCACGTCTTACGATAACAGGTTCATAATGATTTACTGTATAAGAAACAAATCAGAAGCACTTTCACTAGTTCGATCCAGAGACCAGTTCTAATCTAGGCTAAGTACAACACCCCTGAACCACCCATTACATTCTATTGCAAGTTTTTAATACTATAGATAATGTATTAAATATAATATCTTACTAGCTGTTACCCACGACGTCGTCCGGGTCGCTTAGATAGGCTTACGGTGGGTATATTTTGAGATCATTTATATAGGAATCATTCTTTCATACATATTTTTTTTCATTTCTTGAGCCATTTTCGCAACGCGGCTTGCGTCACAGATTAATAATTTTCCCCGTTCTCCACATTTTCCACTGTTTCTTTTATTGATCGCAGTCGGGTATTATTTTGCCTAAAGTCTTCCTCGATAAATGGTCTATAAACTGGTTCGAATTAAAAAGTTTTTTTTAATTCGAACCGGATTAAAAAATTCCCTTTACTTCGAACCAGTAGTTCCTATAATAAGTGCGTTTAAACAAACAAACAAACTGTATGTTTGTGATTTTATACGCAAGTACTGCACATCACAAAAGTCACATATTATGATGAATCTTTCTTTCCTTCTCCGAGTGGTAAGAATAAAAAAAATGCATTCACTTTTTATTATTGTTTGTTATTATCATCGTCTACTATTGCATATATCAGCATATTCATTGCATATGCATGCATGTAACTAGAGATGTCGGTTAGATCACAATGTGTAACGTGATGCGTCGAGGAATATGCATAATTACTGCAATTATGACAGATTCGTATCATCTCAGTCGGTTTGTGTTAATTATGTATTTACAA